TTTTTTTTTTTTTTTTTTCCCCCTAAACTAAGACAACTTATCAAAGGTGTCAGTTGATCTAGGGGAGTTGCTATGTGTAACAGGTGTTCTTAAAATGATGTCAGTTCATATATAGCTGATACGTTGGCAGTTCATTCACCTTAAAAAATATTGCAGGAAAAATTGTTAAACCTGTTGTAATTGTTTGAACTTGCCTGAATGACTGCACTGTTGCTTATAGATACTGTACCTTATAAATTTTGCTGTGGTTTCTTACACAACAGTTTTTCTTTTTTCTTTTAATATCTTGCAGGAATTCCATGTTTACCACCTCCAGACATAGAAAACGGGAAGCACTCTGGTGAACAGGAGGATTATACCTATGGGACATCAGTAACTTACCAGTGTAACGATGTGCCGGGAGGTTCAGTCCCTTTCTCACTTATTGGAGCAGAAACTATTCACTGTCTTTCTGATGCACAAAAAAATGGAATTTGGAGTGCACCCGCTCCTCAGTGCAAAGGTGGTTAATTTTATTTTTTATGTTGTTTATTCTTTGTATTAAACATCCTAGAATGAGAAGCTTTTGAGTTTAGTGATAAACAGGGATTCTGGTTTTCCCTGGTTTAAAAAAAAAAAAAAAAAAAATCACAAATTCTCTGATATAACCCCCAAATCTGTTATTAAAATGAAAGGTCCCCCACAGTCTCCCTGGCCCTGCTGGTGCCCCTCACCCCCTACTCACAGCTCCTGCTCCCCAAGCCCTGCTGGAGGGGGCCCCCAGCTGCCAGGGCTATGGGGCCAGGGATCCGGGTCCGCAGCCTCCTGCCCCTGACATAATTGAAAATGAGATGTAGCAGAATGTTGTTGAAATGAGAGAGAGGAAAAAATGAAGAAAGGAAGGGTCTTGTTCGTTAAGAACCCATGTGCATTATCTTTTTCAGAAACTTAAAAGTAATGGAAAAGCTCTGTTAACTCACAGTCCCATTTTATTAATCCTTTGAAAGTGGTCATCCAACTGTAGCCAGCATCTCTATATGTTACCTGAATTTAAACAGAAGTGTGGTGACATAGGAAGCATAACCAAACAATTCTAAGTAGCTTAGGATTCCTTCTCTTTTCCTATCATGTGGTTTTGCTGGACCAGCCAAAAACCATCTGGTCCTCATTCAGGGTGAACGGACACCTGTCCAGTATACTTAGGAACAGTTGCTCATCACCACTGAAATGAGTTGAATTGCATGAGACACACCTTCTGAAGGACAAGGAATCAGTCTGTCTACCTGACTTCATCCTAAGAGAGCAAACTAACTACCATTGTGTGAAGTGCATGGAAATGGGCTAAAACAGGGCTGCATGCTGTTCACCCCCCTCCCCACTGACATGCTACAGGTAATCCTATCCCCACCCCCAAAGCTGCACTGTGGGCACACCATGTCCTTGATGCACTGGGCCCCTGGCATACCTGAGCGCTGGTTTTCATGGGCTGTACTTACACCCCTCCCCAGGGGCCTGAGGAGCAAGGAGCCTGGAAACCCTGACAGCTACAGGCAGAACAGTGTTTGGGGGAAGGGGGTTGCAAATGAACCCCTTGTGTTGGCTCAGGTCTCTGTGGGCTGGAAATTGAACAGGTTAAAAGAATGGTGGAGCAGGGGGACTAAAAGACTGGGCTACAGCTGGATTTAGGAGAAAAAAAGCTAGAAACAAAAGAAGTGAGAATAGCCTAAGGTTTGGCTCTTGCGTAGTGTGATGGGAGGAAGGAAGGGATGGGTACAGGGCAACAAAGACAATAAATACAGGAATAAATAGGCTATAAAAAAGTGCACTAGGCATGAGCAGGGAGAACTGACAGAAAGTGGACATTGCCATTTGGATATAAGAAAGTAAGTATTACATTTCTCTCCTGGAACAAAATGACATGCTGTTGGCTACATGGAATGTTTTCCTGTGCTGATGGGCTTATGGTAAGCCCAAGGAAGCTCTTATTTCAATCATATTTCCTAAATACTGTATTTTCCATGTGGACACCTTTTTCCAAATTCAGATGTGGGAAATGGGAATGCGTATTATAAACAAGGAAATATGGCAATAGTAGGTGCTGTCTACTGGGGGAAAGCAAAAGCAACTCTGCAAGCACTGAATGGGGCTCCCTACCTGCTGCCTGTGGACACTTGCTCTTTCCCTTCAGCCCAGAGGGCAGGAAGGAAGGGTGCATGCTGCAGAAGCTGCTACTCAGTTACAGCTACTTACCAGTATTTTCAAGGAAAGATCCTTTTTCCTTCCTTCTGCCTTTCAAAAATGAGTCATTTCTTATTTGGGGGCACATTTTATGTGAGAATATGCTTGCCTATAGTATTATGATCTTCATCATAATACACTTTATGAAGGCTCACTTAAAACCTCTGTTGCTTTCCTGGTCTAAGTCCTAGGAAATGTGTTGGAGGAGTAAATTTTAAATTTGGTTCACTGAAAATAAAAACCCTGTTCACGGTGGCTGTAAAATAAAGGTGCTGTCTACAAATGTTTCAGAGCTTCCTGTTCTTTTATACTTTCTTTCAGTGGTCAAGTGTCCAGAGCCAGCAGTTCCAAATGGGAAAAGAGAAACTGGATATTCACCTAACTATATTTATAGAAGCACAGTTATTATGAAATGCCTTCCTGGCTTCGTCATGAGTGGAAGTGATGTGATTGTCTGCCAAGAGAATAATACCTGGCATCCTGAATTGCCAGTTTGTCTACGTAAGTATGAACAGGAATTGAACTTCTTATCAGTGATGCAGTGAATCATGCACAGATTGTTTGAATCACAAAGTCAATCCCTTATGTTATCTGAAACCAGCAACTAGATGACCTGAGGCATGAATTGGTTGACTGGCGCGAATCTGCATGACTCTTAGAGCTGCACTGTGACACTGATGTGAACTATACGTTTTTGGGGAGGATATATTTCTGGCCAGTTGAAAAATACCTTTCTGTGTCAACCCTTTTGGGTTTGGAAATGGAATTTTGCCGGTTGTGTCCTGTAAGATGACATAGGCATGTTAAACATGCACAATGTCAATGAAAATTAAAATATTGTTGGGAGAGTACTCCTGGTGTATTCGTAAAAGTGCCTGTAAAGTACCTCGGAGTGTAAGTTAAAGGCCAGTGATCCTCTCAGGGCACAAATGCCATTGCAAAGTTGCTAAGTAAATGGAGATGATAATAGTTTGACATTTAGTGTCAATGGATGCCCTACCTGCTTTTGGGAGGTTGCCCATGGCATGCATAGTTGTCCGTTTCTGGGGTTGTTTTGTACAAGCTTGCAACTGTAAGTTCAGGTAAGGTTACTTGAGTTTTCTTTGTGTGGTAGGCTGAAAAAAGAAGTGGCTTTTTCTGTTTTCACTTCCAGACACCGTCTCAGTTAGCACAGCCTCAGCTCCTACTGGAACTGCCCCGCTTATTCCTCATGGAAGAATAATTCATGGACCAAAGCCACTATATGCTGTTGGAGAGAGCATTACAATTGAATGTGATGCAGGCTACACATTACACGGGGAAGCTAATATTCAGTATGTTGGTGGAAATCAGTGGAAGCCTGGAATTCCATCGTGTCAGTTAAAGGGGGGGTTAAGTACAGGTAAGTCCAAACAAGCAACGGTCAACACACACAAACACAAATGACTCCCTTTTTTGTGGTACTGTAATACTGTCTGTGGGTCCGAGATTCCTTTGCTTGGGGTGGGGCTGGGAGGGGGACGCATTCCCAGTTCTGAAATATCATTCGTGTAAATTTTTTTAAAGGCATTTTGAGAGGTGAAAGGCAGCTGTTGCAATATCTGTCAAAAGGCAGGAGTAATTTTAAGCTTACTGATTCCTTTGTTACCATAAAAGCTGTGTGAAAATTGGCTCGCTACAAGACGTGTATGTGAAGGACTTTCATGTGTCTTAGCTGATTTTTTTTCTTAAATCCGCAAAAAACATTTAGTTTGTAGGTTATAACGTCAGAATAAATATATATTTCCCCTAGCCTGTGTAATTAATTGGTATGCATGTTATTTTTATGATGATTAATTCACTTTACTTTTTTTTTTATTTTAGGTCTAATCGTCACCCTCAGTGTTGTTTTTGGTAAGTAATTTCCTTTAAACTGAATAGGAGATGCGGTGAAGCCTGTTTTATTTCTAATCTGTTTATGGAGTATAGCTACTTTTCACTTGATAGTGTGTGATTGTAAGGGTGACGTGGCAATGTTGCTTTTGAAATGCATGTGTATCTGGAAAGTGTGTGTGCATTCCTGAAAAAGAAAAAACTGCTTGGCTTTTCTTAGCCATGTAGAGTATCAATATGGTGTCTGCTTTTTGCAGGGGAAGAAGGGGGAATCAATAGGTGAGAGAAATTAAATTCCAGGGCAGGTTTTCACTTTTCCACAGTATTGTGCTGCATTGTACAAAGAACTAGAATGATGTGGGTTCTGAAATAAAAGATTATCTCATGGACTGACACTTCTTTGCTCAGTTTACCCAACATCCTCCGACCACAGGGTGGATGATTTTAGTATTGTGGAGACACTTTTGAGCAAGAAAAAGTTTTGTTAAAGCAGGCTTTAGTAAACATTCAGCTGTGAGGAAGAGCTGCGTGAGTCTGTGATTAAACAGCTACAGGCCTTCTCGGGAAAGTCACGAGGGTCCCCCCCAAAGCGCTACAGTCTGGAACTGGTCTGTTCTGTAAGTCAGTGGTGAGCCTGACATCAGACTGTCTTGTTTTTCTTCAAGGTGCCCTTGTGGTGTCACTGGCAGGATATGGGGCCTATAAGAAATGGGGTAACCAGAGAAGGTGAGTAAACCGTGATCGTCTCTTAGTGTCTTTGCTTCGGTATGAACGAGTGCTCCAGTATATTGAGCTTTACCAGCTTCCGTTTTTAAACACCTGAACACATCAGAGGAGTTCTAGTTTTGTACTTGCTGTCTGTAAAGTTTCAGAACAGATTCAGTCCTTCGTTGCTGGCTTCTGATTGTTACCCCGTTGTTAGCTATTTTATATGGGTTTACTGCAATGCAAAGTGTGAAGTGCATTGAAGTTCAATTTGTGTGAAAATCACTGCTATTCTTATATGCAAATAGTCAAATTATACTGGAGAGTGAACTACCCTTTTGTCTCTGGATTGGCTTCGGCTCTGTTCTGAGGAGTATAGTGTTAATATGCTGTACTGATTGTGCTGTGAAAGGAGTTCAGTCCACAGTCCTATTGGTCTGGCTTCTTTCAAAACCACAACATTTGCACTTGGGTTTCCTAAATTAAATCCCCAGAATGATTTTGATTCCAAACACTGGATAGAAAGTGACCTCTTCCCGGACATCTGATACTGTGTCCAAAGTTTGGCCAAAAGACCGGGTGGTCATTCGTGATTTGCTTCATTATTTTCCCTCCGGGCTTTTCGCAAAGGGTATATTAGAAAACATCTGATACTGCTTTTTTTTCGCAGAGGTGGTAAGATATACTCATGTACAGTTTAAGTATTATGTAGATAGTTTTCTGTCTTTTATGCATTTTGCAGTTTTGTTCAGCCTGGAGCTTAAAAAGTTTCCCTTTCAAGTCGGTGTACCACTTGGAAAGGTTCACAGCTACTTAGTAGGATGTTTCTAACTGAGTCTGGAGATGAGTTTTGCTGCTGCTTGCTGAAGGGTTTACTGGCCCTTGTCGTGTGTTTGTGAGGAAGAATCCGTGTCTCCAGTCCACTGTCTTAGATGTGACAGCTACGTTGCTAACTTCTTCTTAATTATAACTTGTAATCCTCAGCATGCAGCTCCAAGAATGCCTCCTAGTCAGCCGTTTAGAGCAGTAACACATACTTGGCCCTTTCGGGGAAAAAAAAGAGACGTTTTCTATCTTTCGGTTCTCACGATTTTTTTCTGGAAACATAATGAAAAAATGCAAGTCAACTTTTGTTTCTTGAGCAGTCTGAAAGTCTGCTGTACTCTTTGGAATGCATGAAAACAATTGTTAGTCAGTTGGGGGAGTACCTAAAATGTCAATCCTCGGGTGCTAACCTGAACCACACTTGACTACACAGTCAAAAAGGAAATTTTCTCAGTTCCGTTATCACAGATTGTGATACTTAATCTGTGCAGTGTTCATGTGCCTATAACAGTCTTTCAAAGTAAGGGAGTGGCTCAGTTAAGGTTCTTAGCTAATCAGAGTTGAGAGCAGAGTTTATTTTATGCACTTTTGCCATCTCTAAGACTATTATGACACAGTTTATTCAGTAACTGAATTAATCCGTGCTGCCTAATGTGCTTCTAGTATTCAAGTGCTTGCTAATTAATCAGTTCCCAAACTATTAAACAGAACAGCATGAACCTATTTACTGATGGTGCACTTTAGAGAGAGCTATGGTTTAAATACTTACTATATCTAAAATAACAGGAACGTAACTCATTTTGCACTACTTCCTTTTTTTTATAGCAAAACTAGGGCAGTTTTTTTCCAAGTCATTCATGTACATATTGAAACAGATGCGATTTTGTGAAAAATAGATTTTTGATTCTTAACTGTACTTATTTTTGTTCATAGGGAAACTGCCTGCCCTCCAGCCACTGCTGAATACACTGCTTGTAAAGCATGATTGATCATTGTGGGGGGGTGAAGTTAAATGAGCCTTTCAGAGATGGAAAAAGGACTGCACTTGCCCTGAATTTGTCTGAGAATTGTTAGTCCCTCCTTTCACCAGAGTTGAAGATGTCATGGCAGAATCTTTACTTTTCGTTATTCTTTCCTGTTTGGATTGATGAATTTTAAGGAACGCAAAAACCTATGTCGTCCCTTTCAGCTCCATCTGTTGTCTTCCTCTCCTAGTAATTTTGCCTGTAGCTTTCTCTAGTCAGCAAGGAAGTTTGTGTTAGTACGAGACAGCTGCTGCCTTTTCTGTCTTGCTGTCCTTACAGAAGAGACTGTAAAAGGAAAGATGACTTGGTAGGGCCTTAATATGGCTCCTGAGCCACTACAAAGATTTTGACATTTAGATGTTGTTCTTTTAAAGCACTTGATTTCTGTTAATTATTCTTTCTGAAGAAAGCAGCACTATTTGTCTGTATGAATATTTTTGCACACTTGCTGTCTTAAGTTTGCTGGTGGTAAATGTATATTTTGCTTGAAAACTAAATTATTTATTTTCCTGCTTTTGAAGATATTGTGGATTGACTTTGGAGTTGTTTTACCATTCTCACTCCTTCTCTATTGCGGAAGTTTTCTTGTAGGCTGCCAAGAACCAGAGAGAGGTCCCTGTCGGGAATCTCCTTGTTCAGGTTTTAGTTTATGGTAAACCGATAAAAAGCACTTAAGTGGTGCGCTGGTATGTAGATGCTAGTAACTGCACCATAAACCAGGATTATTAGACTGGCGGGATTATGAAATAATCCAATGTTCTAACTAACTTCTAAAATTCTGTCGCTTGGACCTCCTGTGTTTTTGTATGCAGACTGCCATGTCTCCAGGGTAGACTTACAGTGTTGTTAAATGGGTATGTTAATGGGGAAATGCTAAACAGCTGTGCAGAGAAACACTCATTTCATGTTTAAAAAAAAAAGTTAAATAAAAGATCAACCAAAGTTACTCAGCTGACGGAGGTCAAAGAATTATTGGATTGGGCTTTCTTGCATTGGAAATTGGTCCTTGATGTGTATAGTTCAATGTGAGGTCCCCGCAGCCTCACAGACAAGTTGTCTGTAGACATGGGCTTGAAAGGAAGCTAGTATCTGTGACTTGAAATGTTTAAATTTCATTGCCAATGTTGTATGTAAATTATGGCAGTCTACATAGACAGTTCAGCCAGGGACTGACCTTTTTTTGGCATAGAAGGTGGTCATTTCAACTTAGGTGGTTGAAGCCTTGTTTATCAATGTAAATGCTGGTTGTGCTTTTGATACGGATGTATATAGTGTCTTAGCACTCGCTTTATAGATGTGCAGTATGATTTAATGTCATTTAAAATGTGCTGTGTGCAAAATTATGCAAGGCTTTGAGCTATTCTTAAAGTGAATATCTAAAGTCCTAATTTGTCTTATTTCTTCTTCTCCATACTGAGGCCCTGACCCTGCAGAGACTTCCACAGTGAGTCTGTCCAGATTCTTTGCAGGGTCAAGGCCTCGTCAAAATAGTTTAATTTCCAGGAATTTTGCTCTGATTGGGTCTCTGGATACCTTAGTGAGGAGTATATTGTAAATGCCTGTATCATCACTGGATAGCCTGATTCTACCTTCAGTGCCTTTTACCATATTGTTTTTGAAATGCGCATGCAAAAGATACAGGCTTATTAAATGTTCTGTCTGATGTAAAGTCCAGTAATGACTTCTAATAAAGAGAAGTACATTTTATTAGTGACAAGTGTTTTGCCTTTTATTTGTCCCTTGACCGATAGACATTCTGTTCAAAAAAGTAAGTTCTGAAATTGTGTGGTATTCTTGGTATAACTGATAGGTTCAAAATTTGAAAGCCCAACTGGGCAGATATAGTCCCATTGATATTTGGGCACTGAAGCAGAGTTATGGTGTCTTTAAAGGTGCTTGAGCAGTGTCCCATTGACTTCAGTGAGAGTTGAGGGTTTGGCAGTCCTTCTGAAAATTGCATCACTTGCATTTAGGCCCTCCTCACTCGAATATTTGGCAAATGATTTTGAAAGAAGAAAGTGAACAAGAGAATAATGCCATTGATATTGTATTAGTTGATCATGCTTACTCTAACCAGCTAGTTAGGATGCCTGCACGTTGGCCTGTTCCTAAGCTCCTGGGAACCCTCAAAGGGCCTTTTTGAAACTTGTATAAGAAGAAATCCTGATCTCATTAGATCATAATAAGGTTATTATTGTCTTTGTCACTTCAGTTGCAAATTACAGTTCGCTCAGCTTCCCCCCGCACCTTTTTTTTTTTTTACGAAGAGCTGTTTGGTTTGGTTATACTGTCTTTCATTGTAAGCCACCCTAAGCCCTTTTTTTTGGGTGGGTGGCATATAAATTTAATAAATAAAATACTGGCTGCAAACTCAAAGTTCAAAAGTGAGCTGGGCTGATGCTATTAATTATGATCTCTTGGGGAAAATGGCAAGGTAGATGCATCTGGCGCGTGCTAACACAGCATGGACTGATGGAGGAGGTTTATCGTTTGCTTTCTAATCTGCTTGAAGGATGATTGTAAATTCAAATTGGTTGATCTACCCTGAAGTGATAACATTGAAGTACTAAATTGACATATTGAAGCCCAGACTATTTGGTAATCCTAATTCAGCCCAACCAGTACTGTTAGCACATTGGCCTATAGTTTGTGTAAACTTGAGCTGGGTTGAAAGTAGTATGTGTGGAGAGGATGAACTAAGAGTCTGCAAGAAAAAAGTTCCCTGCATAAATTTTGAAAAGCTGTAGTGAAAGTAAGTGATGCTACAGATAAATGATTCTGGAGTTGTAGCAGCAGAAACACCCCCTTGCATGCACCCATTTATTCAGTGGAGCTTGTTTTGTGTCAGACTTCCAGGTCACAAGACCTAATCTTGCCATATTAACAATATTTGCCAAAGCACCATGGATGATGGGCAGGAGCAGTGGCTGCTGCTATTTTAGTGGTAGCTCTGACTCACAAAATTATGGTTAAAACTTTCTAATTCTAGTGGAACATAATTGTCCTGCCTTTGCTCTTCAGATGGCCCCCTTTAGGTTGCCTGGCCTTTTGCTGTGGGGAGTATATAATCGCCCTGTTAATGCAACAAAATGAACCCTGTTTAAATCACCCTGTTAACACAACAATTCATACACAGAAGACTCCAGTGTCGTTTCATTCCTGAATTTGCCATTCAGCTAGAAAGTGTAATGAATGTTCATCTACTTCCTTTCTCTTTATACAGGCATGGTTTAATTAGACAGTGATATAAATGAGTTGCCCAGCAGTAGCATTTATGAGTCTGTATATGCTGTGTTTAAGAGGAGAGTCATAGAGGTCTCCTCCAGCTCTTGAGAATCCTGTGTAATCTAGAAAACCTTAGCATTTCATGATGGCTTAAAAGTGGTAAAGAAACATTAAATTACTCACCACAGTCAGTCTACTGTGAATAATACATCATCTCCACCTAGCGGCAAGATTTAGCAGGAAGTAATACTTGGTTTTGTAACTAATCTGGATCAGGGGTGTCAAGAACCCAGCCTGCATCCAGCACAGAAGGCTTTTGGGTACTAAATTCTGGTGCACAGACGCCCATGGAGGATGTGTGCTTGTGGCAGAGGGGTGAGCGACAGCTGCACTGACCCTGCTGTTCCCTACTGCTGCTGGTGGAGCTGCCAGAAGTGAGTTTGGATCCTGGCTCTGAGGAGCCTTGTAGTCCTGATCTGGCTGGGGTATGGGTGGAGGGGCCAAGGGAGTTTGACACCCCTGATCTAAATGTTTTGGTGTAATTCTTCCGAATTGTCTGTCTTGAGAGAACATGCTCGCTAAAGGAATTATGTTCAGGAATGTAAGAGTGAGATACCAAAATAGTCAGGTGTTTGCACTTGTCTTGTGCTTTCAGAACAGGAAGATGCAAACTGCACCTGGCGAGTGAGAGGAGGAAACCCGTTTGCAGCAGTTCGGTAATCAACAGAAAAGGACATGTCTTTGAGGCAGAGGCCAATACAATGCAGTACAAATTTTTATTGAAAATAGTAGCTCAGAGTAGGTGACATAGTTTGTAAGCTTGCAGAATCAAAGGGCCACTTGTCTGCTTGCTAACAGTCAGGAAGGGAGGCACTTCTGCATACATACACATATGTGTTCTCTCTCGCACATCCCTGCACCTCCCTGAAATTCAAGAGTTTGAGCTAAATCTTTTTAGATGATGCATTTCAAATACCTTAAGCATCTTTCCAAGGGGAAACGTCTGCTCCATGCCTTTCACTTTACACAGCATATTGAACAGCCGCATACAACTAACACAAAGGCGTTCATTTGTAAATACCTGTGTATTTATGTAGCAAGGTACCGGTAATACGCTTTCTGGTAGTATTCTGGAGCCACTGTGGTCATCGCGTAGGAATTGTGCACGGGGGGAAAAGTGAAGTTCCAATTACTGTTGCTTTTCCCCCTACATCATAACCGATTTCAAATGGTGCTAGACAAACACTAAGACTCTGAACACCAAGAGAAATCGGTCAGCCTGTGTAAGAGACTTTTCTCCAATTCAGAGGTTCCTCCTGTAGCGAACAGCCCTGTATTCTTTGAGGAAGACCATGTTGTACCGGTAGATGCTGCTTCTGGACAATGCTTGTCCCTCTGCATATATGACAGAAGTTGAAAAGAAATAGCGGGTTTGAAGGAGCAAGCCTAACTTAAAATTCATCTTCAGTGATTTGGGTTGATGGGGAAAGATTGACCTTATTTTAATATGGTCTATTGGAAATTGGTAGTACTTTAAAATTCTCGTGATTAGATGCCATCCATGTACATCAACATATTTTTCTTGGCAGATTTTGTCCTCCCGCCACTGGTAAGAAAGGAGTGGGATTTTCAGAAGTGCCAAGTACCTGTAGCTCCATAATGAAGTCTGTAGGAACTGGACATATTTATCACTTCTGAAAGTAAGGCCACAAACGCCCCAGGACTTCTGTTGGTCTATTTAAAAAACAGATCTTTGCCATAGCTTGGCTTTAGGAATAGATTGTCAGCTATGCTCTTACTAGCTGTTTAACAAGAATGTGCTGAGGCCCTGTGTCTTCAGTGTTCTGCTTGCAGTTGTGCTGCTTTATGCCTTTAGTCCAGACAGTTAGTGTGCATCAGTTCTATTAGGGAAAAAAAATCCAGTAAAGTCTTTCCCTGCTACAGCCCCAGCAACACATACTGTAAATGGTGACCTGTGTCGGTGCCTAACACTGCCTGTTGTTAACAGTTGGAATTAAATTATTTCTTTCAGGCCAAAGCAACTTTTAAGGAGTAGACCCCAGTCGAGAAGTAAGCAGCTGCTTCTTCGATCTCTTCCCACGCTGTAATTCTTGCCCCTAGAACACTGATTTCAAATGGTGCTAGATACAAAGATGGGAAAATCTAAGCCACCATGTGAAACCAGCTTCCAGAGGAAGACTCATCTCCTTGCACAGCTGCAGTCTGGAACAGGGAGTTGGCTGTTTATAAGGTTCCTAGAGAGAAGCTTCTGGTTTATTTTTGTCACTGATAAATGAGGAGACAGTTAGTTATATAAGAACAGACGGACCTCCAGATGTCAGTATGTAAGGCGCTGAGATATAGCTGTATTAAGATTATGGGTAGTTTCACTTAAAATCAAAGTGAAATGATGGCAGTTAGTGAAACCAGTGGAGAGAACATGCCAAAAGCATTCCTCTTAAGTAACTTGAAAATGGGGAAGGAAGGAAAAAGAGTAGTCTGCCCACATGAAGAAAGTTATCTGCTATGGTAGTTTAGACTGGCATTTATACCTTTGTGTAGCAGCTAAATAGTGAGACAGCAGGTGCTTTAAAAAGGCTGAGTTTGGGAGCAGGAAGTACTTACAGAAACTAAAAATCTGAATTACTTAGTGTTAGACTGAAAAAGAACCACACATTCGTGTAAGTCACTGCTACTACATAGACCAGGACAAAAATGCACCACCTAATAGTACCTATTGGTAAATAACTATGAACTTGTCCTGCTTCGATGGTTGTAACGTACCGTGATGAAAACTCTCAGTATGTGCACTGCAAGTGGAGGACAATGCCTTTAGATGGGTCTTAAATAGGAATACTGCTATAAAAAAATAGAGCATCATAATGTTCTACCCAAGAATGTATGTAGCAGTGGGGCTTGGAGAAGGCAACCTATAGTACATGTTGATTTAGCTGTGTTAGTATGGGCAAAGTACAAATAATCAGGTTACTCCTCCCCCCGCCCATAGCTCTCCTTGAAATCCCCGCTTTTTTAATGGAAGATATGTAATGGCTAAAGCCATCACCTTATTTGTCAGACTTGAAAAGAGAAGCGCATTCCATTGATGTATTACCCCTTGCCCTACCTCATAGTTTATATTTAATTATGGAAAAACTGACTGTGTTGAACCCATCAAGTATGGCGTCTTACTCATGAGCCAGTACTTACCTCAATGGGGAGGCTGTCCTGGAACAGGGTAGCCACGTCCACGTTCCTTGTTCCATCACATAGTGTCAGAGCCACAAACAATAGGGCGCACGCTCTCAACTGCACGCTCCTTGGTTACTTGGGCTATTTTTGTTCCTTTCTCATGCAGACCCCACAGCTGTAGTTGGCACAATGGCGTCTTCTGTGGAAAAGAGAACATAATGTTCCTTACGTAAGGGGCAGGTTTTGTTCAAAGGAATCATAGCTCCATGACACCTCAGCGGCCTCTCCCACTCAGAGCCCAGAGCCAGAACCGTTTGCTCAGGCCTGCTCGATATGATTGTGTTAACCTCCTCAGAAGGAATTTGGGAAGGGAACTGGTGCTAAAGATTCTTCTAAATCAGGAAATCGAAAAGAAAGTTATGCCTGTCAGCCAATTAAGAGAAGACAGAAATATCCAGGAAAAACGTGAAGCTGGCACAGTAGAAAGGTGGGGTTTAAGCTGCAGCTTGATTGTACACAGCATAAGCAGGAATGCAGAAGAGTCTTTCTTGTAGCCAGTTATGTTTGAAACAAAATCCCTGGAAGCACATGGGCTGCATGGGGGTAGGGCAATGTGTGCACCCTTTGATTAATGTATTGTGTGTGCTTACAGTGTCTCTTCATCTGCAGAAAGTGCTTTCTAAACGTTAAACAAGTCCATTCTCTGTACTTGAGCAAGCAGTGGTGAACATAAAGCTACAGAGGATGTCAAGAATTACTTGAGAATGACTGGGTCCCAATTCCATGCTCTGACTGGGGATTTTTTTTGGTTGTTTTTTTAAATGATCAGACCACTCTGAGCTGGATGACATTTTTCAATAATATTCTTTTCTCTTTCATCTCCATCCAGCATTTTGTAATGGCTTACACGGTGCCTAAGCTTCCACGCCAGAGGCCAGATGAGAGGCACAGTCTGCTCACGTCAGTAAAAGATGCAGGACTTCAGACCCATGTGGAGCCAACACTAAAAATACTTAGTGAAACTGTTTAGGATGAGCTGAGCATCTAACTTATGTCCTAATAACAAAATAGTACTAGAAGAGAAGTCCAAAATGGTGACTGTACATGCAGGATTCAGGAGGAGAGAAACTGTTCTCATTCTTGGAAAACGTACCGAGTTTGATCCTGAATCATGGAACGTAATATATAGGAATGTGCTTGCCTCCTAGGAATTGGATGAGCTTACTAAGACATCTTTAGTGTGCCCCCAAGTGCTGCTGCATGGTTGTATCTTTCATTGAGTACTAAGTGGGAAAGGCTGAGCGCTAAAGTCTTTAACAGAGAAAGAAATGGATTCAAAGCAAATGTTGGTTCCCAAGTATGCCAGGCACCACCTGTGTGGAAATACTTAGAGGGGAGTTGCTGGAAAATGAGCTGAAACCTTGCCAGCAACATTTCTACCATGAAAAGCAGGCTGCTGCCGGCAAGCACTCAAATTCATAACGAGCCGTTTGAGTTGCCTAACTGGGGAACTAAATGTGTCCCTTAATTCAGACGTACAAACTTGAAGGAGTGGATGTATAAAGTGGCTGATGTTCAGAGCAGGTGGCGCTATTGGACTGTGAAGACTCATTTAAAATGTGTGAAATTGGCCTCTGCACCTACCCAGAAAGCAGATGTCAGTCTTGTCGTCGCTTCACTTTTGATTCCTAGGATTGTATGGAACTTTCTACTACAGTAGATGCGGCGGCGAGTTGACCAGAAGATAAGATGACAAGTAAGAGAAGCTTCTTGCAATCTCTAAATGGTTTCTGAAGAACAAGAGTCAGTGCGGGCAGTTTAGAAGTTGCTTGTGCTGTTGAGCAGTAGGAGTGGCATCACTTTGCCTGGGTGTTCAGAAATCAGAGGTTAAAGAATATGGGAGACGGGATAGCAACACCTTTACAAGAGTCTTTAGGTCAATTATTTTAACCCTAACAATGCTAGTAGCTTTTAATGAATACCAAGGAAGAATGCGAAGTTCATCTTGGCTTTCAAAAAGTGCTAGCCACCTGTAGCTTTTGTTGAATTAAAGGAGTTTCTGGCACAGAGGTGAGAACTCCTGAGTTCCAGCCCCAACTTCAGATACAAGCCCTTCTGTCACCTGAAACAAGCTTTGGTTTCCGTGCATGAGTTTTCTCCCAGTGTTGAAATATTTATAATGCTCGTTGATCATGGGGAGGGAAGGCAAGGAATAAGTATGATGGTTAGCGTCTAGTCTCAAGGGCCACACTAGTAGAGCAAGCTCTAAATTAGAGGGAAAGGCCATTTCTATTTGAAGCTACCAGATTTGCACTATTAGTTGTGGGCACTTACAGATGAATGTGCATTTAGAAATATAATTTGGAACTTTGTGGTTCTGAAATGCGTCCCAGGCTCTGGACATGCACGCTCTTCAGTTTTGGGGTGCTGATTCAGCTCTTTCTACTACAGGAAACCACTTTGCAATTTAGGTCCTTCCTTTGAAGCGTCTGTTCATGCTTTTGGGGTGGGCAGCTGGATCAAAACAGCCTCTTACTGATGCCAAAGCTTCATGAAATGCTCTTGAACATAAACTGGTCTCTGAACAGCTTGGACTCCATGTAAACTTTGTGGTGCTAAGTGGCAGCTTTCCATTGCTCCATCCAGCAAAGTGCTCAGGCATGTGCTTCAGTCCAAACAGATGAGTTTTTGTAGTTAACATCTATAGTTAAGAACATACCCATGCACTTTGCTGAAGTGGGGCCAAAGCAAGAAAAACATTGGCTTTAGGCAGCTGCTGAACAGCCCCTAGCTTGATGGAACAGGTTACATTACCTGTTAAATATACTTACTGTTGGATTCGAAAGTTTTTAAGTTCCCATTCAAAGGTAGCATGCAGTCTCAGCAAAGAAGTATGTTCCAAGTTAGTGTATTGCAGCTTTGTATTTCCATTCAGCAGAGGCTTGTTCAACCACCCTCTTTTCCATACACTATAAAAGAAAGAAGCAGAGAGAGACTATCAGGCTTCAGTCCATTCCCAAGCTTGTAGAGAGAGAAAATCATCTTTCAAAATGTTTATATCAGTGTTGGCTTGCTTTCTCCAGCTCTGAGCTTCAGCATCAGTGGAAATTGTGTCAAATGAGCCCAAGAATGATGATACGTATGCACTGCTGCAATTGTTCTTAGACTCAAATTTTTTTTTTTTTTAAATCTTCCATCTAAAAAGGAGGTAAACAAAGATGTGTACAGAGTATCTTTCAGTGAATGAATATTTGGCCCTATTCTGGTGTGGTATGCATGAAATCTTCAAATATATTATTTGGCAGGAACTAGAGGTTCAAGTCTTGCTAAAGTTAGTTTAATCTGTCTTTCTTCATGGGGATATAGATTGCCATTCAGAAAATGGCTCCATCATTCTAAAGGAGGGAAGTTTGCTCTGCACTTGTATGAGAATAGGCTATGACACCACCCTCCCCACAGTGGGTTTGAACTGCCATGTTGCTCACTTCCAGCATTGTGCTCTGACCGCGAGGCCACAGCCAAGGCTTTTCCAAGCTGGAAATGATCATGCTGCAGGCAGGTCTGCCTTCAGCCTGCGGCCATGTGTGGTCCTGAGCCAGCACAGGGCAGGGGATCCTTCCAGGAGAGACAGAGGAGCTTCTGTGCAGCCCCAAGTGGGAGCAGCGGACCCCGGGCTCAGAGGTCCCCCTACAGCCAGAGCAAGGCTCTGCCTCCCAACGCAGGACAGGGGAGGATGTCCTGCAGCAAGGGCTGCACCGGCTGCTGGCCTGCCCCTTGCACAGCTCCTGCGCCTTCGCGCAGCAGCAGATCGCTCGGGTGGTGAGCGATCTACGAGGACAGCAGCCCTGGGGTGCTGGTCCAGCTTTTGACTGCTGGCCGCCTGGCTTGTGGCCCTTTGCCTTTTGGCGCCCCAGAGGCAGCTCTGCAGTTGGACCTTGGTCTGAGCCAGGCCCTGGGGAGGGTATTTGGGCAGGTGGCCGGCCTTCCCGGTGTCCCCACGTATCCATGCTCTGCAGGACACAGCTGTCCACCTCCCCGAGGGCAGCCTGAGGCTGCTGCTGCCCCCCAGCCCCAGTTCTCCCCGAGAACCGGGGGGCCAGGACACGGAGCTGGGAAGCGCGGGCTGGGGCTGGATTCCCTTGTGGCTGGAGGCCTCCGAGCCCCTCTTCTCTGCACCCCCTTAGCTGGGGTTTCTCAGGAGCTGGGACCCCGCAGTGGTCCCTGCTGAGCAGCTGAAGAAGATTGGTCCTTGCTGCCCAGGGGGATGTGCCGTGGGGCTTCGCTTTTCCAGGCAGGTCCCTTGCCCGGAAACAAAGACAGACCTCCCAGTCCCGAGCCTGACGTCTCCAGACTCGAGCACAGGCAGCCTGAACGAGTCTCCTTGGCCCACAGCAGCTGGGCAAAGCAAGAGTGAAAGCCAGACCCAGAGGACGCTGGCCCTGTGCAGAGTCAAACCCATGGGCCCTGCCTGAATGCAGGGGGGCCTGGGCCACCAGGCAATGAGGCAGGCAGCCACGGCCTTCCTGGGGCTCCCCTTGCAGTGGAGCCAGTGCTTGTCCGCATGGAAGGAGTCAAGGGGCCCAGGATTGCGGGCCTAAGTCAGCTGGGTCCTGTGGTGCACAGTGCCAGGCCTCTCAGTGTGGGTGCTTGGGTTCTGGTCTGGGCCTCCTTGTTTTGTGGAGAGGCGCCTTCCTCTTTCAGTGGAGGGGGCCTGGCCGCTGCCTCTCAAGGGGCCCATGGCAGGAAGCATTCTCTGTCTTCGCTAGTACTCTGGTGGTAAGGGTGCTACCCTTTGGGGGCAAAGATGGTGGGTTTATGCCCCAGCTGGGCTGGAGCCCTGGGCTCTTTGCTCCTCAGTGAGTCCCTGGTGCCTATGACTAGCTGTCTGCAAGCAGGCTTTGGAGGGGAGGCTGGCTCCCCTGGGCATCTGAACCCCTGGTTCAACAGTGGAATGTTGTTTTGCACCTTGAACATCAGGGGTTTTCTGCCACTATGCACCAAAACCACGCCAAAAAACCCCTCGTCCAGTGCCGGGTGTTTCGGGACAGATCTAAGTGGGCTACGGTTCCAAATCCTCTTCATCTGCTAACTGCAATCACCCCTGAGCACCAGCTGCTAGGCAAATGCCAGAGGGAAATCAGTTGCATAGGAAATGGGGGCAGCCCCTCCTGGCCCCTTGACCCTCTGGGGATACCATGCACTGAGCCCACTACAAGGGAGCCCTGGGGCAGCTAGGACCCCCTCGCCTCTGGGCCTAGGGACAATGGCATGGGCCATGGAGCCACACTCCACTGATTTGACCCCCTGGAGCACGGCCTCTACATGTCCTGTTGGCTGCTGTGGTGGGCTTCACCGCACGGGTGGGCTTTCTTCTCTCCTCCCTGCCTGGGCAGGGCCTGTCTTTTCTGCTGCTCGGTGGAACAAGGCGGCTCCTGCTACCAAAACCTGCAGCAAACAACCAGCGCAGCCCAGCCAGGAGCCAGTAGAGGGGCTACCAGGGCAGGCGGACGCCCCGTGTTCTTGGGCTGTGCTGTGTCCTGGGGTAGACAGTTACGTAGCAGGGGCACAGCCTCCCCTGCACATTCACGGCACCCGAAACAGCTGCCAGGTTTGAAGGGCCCCACACTACAGCGCAGCCCAGCCGAGTGTTTGCCTTCGTCCGACTCCGCACCTTCCAGCTTGGGGCCTCCATCGGCCCCGGGTCATCCCCCCCCCGGGGCAGTAACAAAGCTCATGCTCGGAGCCAGGCTTCTAGCAAATGAGCCTCTTGGGCTGGGCAGTTATTTTGGGCAGAGGGCCGCTTACTGAGTTTCGGGAAGACGTCAAGGAGCTGCATGACAGGCACCTAAGGGCCGATTAATATTAATTTCCTACAATTTTTCGGGTCCACGTGGGCTGCACAGAATGGCCTGGCGGGCTGCATCCGGTGCTTGCCTCGGGCATGGGCCGGGCTCAGTTGGGGGAGCTCCTGCCCCGCACGAGCTGCCCCCGGAGCCCCTGGCCGGGGCTGCGGGGCGGGGGAGGGC